CAGACCTGAAGGATGAATATTTCCACAATCCTATTGCTGTGGACCACAGAAGAGTCCTCCACTTCCACATATGCAAAGTGAGGGATCAGTTCAGGGTCCATCCCTTTGAGACCTGTGATGAGACTTGTGAGAAACTTGCCCTAGTGCCGCTGTAATGCAGGGTTCTATGCATACTCCCCTGGACAACTGGCTGCTGTGTGGCAGTTCCAACATCAAGTGATGAGCCAGACAGAGCGCCTGATCTCATGTGGAAGTTCTATTTGCAGGTTGTGAGCCTTTCTGACAGAATTATAATGGCAGTCAGGAAATCATGAGTGGCCATATACCTCAGACCATTTCAGTGTTGGATGAATGCCCAATATTTGTCCACCATATCGCAAAAGAATGTGCCAGTATTGGTGACAAGAACATGCATATGGGCTCTGAGTTGTTGGTCCAGTACACATTTTCTCTATCAAAGTATGTCCTTAGGTGTTCTCCCTGCAAAGAGGTAAATAGTAGGAACAAATGCCTCCTAGCAAAGCACAATATCAGCATATTAACTTCCTTGAAATGAAAGCTTTGTGGTTAGTACTGCAACATTTTCTGGAACCCCTAAAAGGGGCGAATGTGCTGCATATGTGCAGACAGGCAGATGTGTTGTCTCACAGCAAGCCTATACCCAGGGATTGAAAAATACACAGGAAGGTGGTTCAGTTAATTTGGAATACCCACAGCAGAGCAGAAGTTGATCTGTTTGTGAACAGACAGATACCACACTGCTCAACGTTGTTCATGGACATTGCAGAGACAGGAGCTTTGGCGGCCCTCTATACCTAGTACCCATCATATCAGACCTACTATCCCAGATGAATGGGTCACTGTGGCACAACAGAACATACACCTTGAAGTTATGGCTCTTGGAAGTGCACGTGCTGCATCTATGCACTCGTTGTATGCAGATAAATGTAAAACCTCTTCACAACCGTGGAGCATAAGCCCCTTATCTTGACCATAAACAGTGTTTGAGTTTTAGACAGTTGATTGAACGTGTATCTTTCTGGGTCTACCCTAAAAGTGTACGGTATGTGGCAGCCTTGGCCGTGCACATAGGACAGATTGATGTTTTTTTTTTTTTTAACTATGGAACATTTCTAAAAATTTCTAATATCATGCAAAACAGTGATTCCACAGTGGGATCTGGAATTGGTAATAAGTGTCTTGCTATAGGAGCTGATGGAAGATGCTGACATAAAGTGGCTTTCTCTTAAGATAGCTTTTTTACTGGCCATTAGTACAGCCAGACGAAAAAGGCGAATTGCATGTGTTAGCAGTCGGAATGCAGTGTTTGTATTGGGACCCGTAGTTCAAACATGTCATACTGTGGCCAAACCCAGCATTCCTGCCATAGATTCTGATGCTTCAGTATATCAGTAAACCTATCAACCTACACTATACGGCCAAAGGTTTGTGGACACCTGATCATCACACCCATACGTGAGCCTTCCCTAAACAGTTGCTACAAAGTTGTAAGCACACAATTGTCAAGAATGTCATTAAGATTTCACTTTACTGAAATTAAAGGGCCCCAAACCTGTTCCAGCATGACAATGCCCCTGTGTAGAAAATCATGTCCATGATGACATGGTTTGCCAAAGTTGGAGTGGAAGAACTCAACTGGCCTGCACAGAGCCCTGACCTCAACCCCACTGAACATCTTTGGGATGAATTATACACACCAGGCCTCCTCACTCGACATCATTGCCCAACCTCACTAATGTCTGAATGAGCACAAATCTGGTGGAAAACCTTCCCAGAAAAGTTATAGGCTATAGCAGCAAAGGGAGGTCCAACTCTTGAATGGGATGTTCAACAACCAATATGGGTGTGATGGTCAAGTGTCCACAAACTTTTGACAATATAGTGTATTTGCTCTTAGAGGTGAGATTATATCCAGGCCAGCCCTGTGTCCAGTGAGGGCTCTCAAGCGCTATAAGGAAATAACTGCCAGGTGGCACATCACAGACCAACTTTTTTGGGGAGCACCATAAAGGGGCTCTGCTGTCAAAACACAGGTTATCCCATTAAGCAAAGGAAATGATTGCACAAGCATACTTTACCACAATGTCAAGAAGTGTCTTCTTCCATTAAATGCCTTTTGACACACACTATGGCAACCCATGTGCTCTGTGGTGAGTTTTAGTGATCAGTCCCCAATAGAATACAGTAAGACTCTTTAATTTCTATTCTCAAAAGATTACCAACACATTGAGTATTTTTCGCCCTCGACAGAGAGTAGTCTGGACCAGAAGTTTGGGTAAGTCTTATCAGTATCATACTTAAGTGATGTGTGAAATAGCATGTGCCTATTATGCACATCTCTGATTTGACAGCTAAAAGGGTGCATTTTATTACAAGTGCATTTTATTACAAAATCATAGGTCTGTTCATGTTCAAGCATTTTACAGGCTGACGTTTGCTGACAGACCATTTGCCATGAAAAAATTGAAGCCTACGAATGAGTCCTATCTTGATTTCTTGCATATTTGTCAACAATTTCTTATTAAAGTTAAGACCATGGTGACCAAAGAACAATTTCAGAATAGTTTCAGGGGTTTTGTAGAATAGAAGAGTTATACTTACTCTCTAAGGTGCAGAATTATCATGGAAATTAAAGCAGAGACAAACAGAAGTAATACCTATTTTCTAATGAGTTTACTTTTACATTTATTTATTTATTTGGCATATGCTTTTACTCAATTAAAGAAGCAGACACCAGTCTAAACACAGAGCTGATAAAAGACAGTGAACCAAGTCCTAAATGTTTCCATAACTTCAAAACAAGTGTGAAATAGTGATATAGATTGAAACATGAAATAATCAAACTATGAAAAAGTTATTTGGCCATGCATGGGTCATCAGTCACCTTAAGAGCACAGACATAGACATAAACACACACACCAGGAGAGTACTTAATGTGTTTTTTTTTTTTTTTTTTTGCTATTCATGCTCACGTGTACTCATGTAACTTCAGAGTGGATAGTTGGAGAGCCTTACAGCTCCAGTTTTGTGTGTTGTCCCTGTGTCCATGGGTTTCCTCCGCATTCTCTGGTTTCCTCTCACTTTCCAGATGTCAGAAGGTGGACTGGCTTCAAAGATGCCTTCAGAAATAATGAAAAAAATAATAATATAAAGAGCAGTAAACAGTAATAAATTAAACAAAGTCAATCTTTGGTGTGACGAACCTTTGCTTAAAAAACAGTAGTCTCAAATACAATTTGTGCAGTTTTATAAGGAAATTAGCTGTAAGTTTTACTGAGCATCTTGCAGTTCTTCTGGAGACTTTGACTGTCACACTTGCTTCTTATTTTCGCATCAAAACCCAGCAGCCTTCATTATGTTTTTTGTCTGAAAAGTGGTCTCTTATGTAATATGCTGCTTTCTTTACTGACATAAAAACATTTTTCTGTAACATTTAATTGTGTGCTGGAAAACTAATGTTGGAAATCTAAAATGTTTTTGTACTGACTCGATAATGTAGAAGTCATAAAATAAAAATCTATAACAACATTTGTACTAAAAAGAAATAGGGTGCCTAAGACTTTTGCATAGTATTGTATGCACGCATTAAACATTGCCTTGCATAAATGTTCATCCCCTTTGAACTTTTCCACCTCTAAATTAGTTCTGGCACATCCAGTTGCCATCAGAGGTCACATATTTATATGATATGGATACAAATGCACCTGTTCCTGGAAGGGCCTAGAGTTTGCTAGATAACACCCTTTACTATGAAGATCAAGGAGCTATCAAAACAAGTCCAGGAGCATGTTCTGGAAAAGTATCAATCTGGGTTGGTTATGAATAAATATCCCAAACTTTGAATATCCTGTTGAGCATCATTAAATGCATTACTGAAAAATGGGAAAGAACAGGACACAGTTGTGACTCTAGAAGTAATCCATCAAAATTGTAACTGGGTAAGGAAGACATTAGTCAGAGAAGCAACCTAGAGGCCAGGGGTAACTCTGAACATGATGCTATCATGTTTCACAGTGAGGATGGTGTTCTCAGGGTCATGAGCAGTGTTAGGTGTCCACCAAACACAAACAATGCTTTGTGCCAAGCCCAAAAAGTTACATTTTGGCCTAGTCAGACCAGAGAAACATGTCCACGTTTGCTGAGTCTCCACCTTGTCTTTTGGCAAACTCTAAACAAGACTTCAAATGGCTCACCACTTTTCCAGAAACCACAGCTTTGTGTTTCTCATCTGAACTATGGTTCTATCCAAATCCTTCAGCGTTAACCTTGTTCTTTCGGTTCTTTTCTGACTAATGCTGCAATCCACTAAAGGTCATAACTCATCATTTCCAACCTCCAATTAGGGGGAGAGAAACGCCCCTCAACTTGGAATATCTTACTCGGGAACACAGGCTGACCTTCTCAACCCTGAGTTCAGCACATGACATCAAATCAACATGGATGCTCACAGCATCAATAGTAAACAAAGTAGCACATATACAGTCATATACATTCATATACAATTTGTTGTTTTGAGGTAAATATGCATCACTCATCACAGTTAGCTGGCTAGCTTGTTGCTAAGGAAAGCTGAACATAGAGGCGTTTGTGGTTTTTTCACCACTTCGTAGCTCGAAAGTGCAGAGGTCAAAAATTACATAATTCAGAGTTCTGACTTCCCATTTCTGAGGTAAATTGAATGCAGCAAAATACCCTTCTTATCTGGTCACTGACTTTTGGTAGACAGCCTCCTCTAGTGCCTCAGAGTCATGGTTGTGTCATAATATAATATAATAACATAATATAATTTAATGTTTTAATTATGGATTCAATTGTACTCTGCAGGATGTTCAATGCATGGGATATTTTTCATAATCCCTGACTTTTACAGAACTGTGATTTGTTTTGATATATATCTTTGGTATTCATGAGCCTGTTTGTCCACTAAAAAAATAATTAATTGATCTACATATTTAAACTAAGTATTTTCAATAAAAGGTGCCTGGCTAGCTCAGCTGGTAGAGCATGGGACTCTTGAGCTCAGGATTATGGGTTTGAGCCCTACACTGGATGTTGCACAGGCTAGTGTGCTCTCAGTGTCAGTCCCAAGCCTGGATAAATGGTGAGGGTTGTGTTAGGAAGGGCATCTGAAGTAAAACATGTGCTGATCAATATGCAGACAATGAAAGGTCCACTCCCATAAACATTTTGAGATCTGTCTGCCCATGTTGTCTTTGACTTCACTCACAGGATAGTTTCTGATTGGTCTATCTAGTGCATAACCTCCCTTATCACCAGAAATTCTTTTTTAAGCCTTTTTTTGTATTTGGGTATGAGGAAAATTGTGGTGTGGTCATATTTACCAAGCAGGGTTTATAACCATATTTAAACGTGGAGTAAATGTGGTCCAGTATCCATACTCCTCTCAGTGGGTTACTGATGTACTGGTAAAAGTCTTGTCACTCACCTTATTAAAGTCCCTGACCACAGTGGGGGTTGTCTCCAGGTAAATGTTGAGGGCAGGTTGTGCAGCTCAAACTGCACATAGCATAATCTGCATAAGGTGGAATATAAACAGCAGGGAATACGACTGAGGTAAATTCTTTGGGAGGTAGAACGGCTGATATTTGGTAATGGTACAATGGTAATGTGCTACAGATTGGGAGAGCAGGGAAATAAAAAGCTTACTATACGCCCGTACAGATTTGGATTTACCTGGCCCTCTTCCATGGTTATTACAGTGAACAGAGAAAATCTGTTGGTTGGATTGCAGTGACTGGTACGAAAGATGTCAGCCATGTATCAGTCACACTGTTCCATCAGAACCCAGACTGTACCTTCGGAACCCACACTGTACCATCATTAACCGTGATTAAACAATCAGTTAAAATGAATAAATTAATAAACAATTGAGATTATTAAAGCTCTTTTTTCAGTGTAGGTCTGGGCAAATAAGTCACTATTTGTGTCTCCAGCTTACCCACACCTGCTCCCAGTGTGAGCTGCAACATGAACGCAAAATCCTCTATCCCAAGCCACACACTGGGTAAACAAGACCCCATCCATTTCCTGGATTACCACCAAATAAATTCCTTAAAAGCTCACAAACCCTTAGCATCTTGTCTCACAAGCATACACAAACAAACAAGAAGATTGCAAGGGGTAATTAGCATGATCACATTTCTATAATCCAATTGCCTCCTAGTATTGCTTTAATTTTTTCCCAAAACACACACACACGCACACCCACACACACACACACACACACACACACACACACACACACACACACACACACACACACACACACACACACACACACACACACACACACACACACACACACACACACACACAAATATTCAATAATACTTGCAAGAAGCCTAGGTAAGTAGGCTCCAGCCCTGAAATAAAGCAAAACAAGCTTTAAAACAACACCAGGGAAAATCTCCGCACACACACACACACACACGCACACACACACATAGACAAAACCCCACAGTTTGCCAAATTAAACCTGTGCTGTTGCTACAATCCACAAGCACATAACATTACCCAATTTCATTTCTTCCCCAACAAACTCTCGCCCTTGTTTGTGTATTGGATGGGAGAAAAGGAAAGCTTTACTGAGCTGGATGGAACAGAGAGCCTCCTTTGCACAGCAGCTAAAGGGAACATTTTGAGTTTGTGTTTAATTAACAAACATAACAAGCTCTTTCTCTGGCACTGAGGATTACAATTATGGCCTACAATGCACCACCATCCAGTGGTGATTTGATCATCTGTGTTTGAGAAGGGAAGAGGCTCATTTATACTCTTTATTATATTCTTTAAAGATGGCTTACAGTGTGTTGATGAAAGAGCTGTAAATTTCTTCCTTACATATATCACAATTGTTCCATATTCTTCCAGTATCTCCAGCATCTAAAGAATATTTTGTGGTATTATACTGTATATAGAAGCAAGTACAGCACTGCTGTTTGTTGATTTAATATCAATGGCCTACTCGGTAGACCTATTGTTTTTGCTGGTATTTACTAAGTAACTTACGATCCAGACAATCTTGATCAATAACAGTGCGTCCATTTTTGCTCGTACATAACCTATATTATTACCATAATCAACAGATTAATCAGTATACCACTTGGTAAGGTACAGAATAGTAGTGTATGACTGTTTTTTTTTTTTTTTCATTTTTTTAAAAAGCCACTTGGGTTGGTTTCAAACACTGTTCCATTAACTATAAATATTAAATACCACACTGTAGACATATTCACTCATACATTCCCACAGAAGGACTAATTCAGTTCCTCCATTATCAAATCCACAGCTTAACACGAACAAATGCCAGTGTTAAAATGCTGGTTGGTTTATTTATTTATTTATTTATTTATTAGAGAATAAACATTTTCTCTACAACTTACACAACCTCACGCCCCCTTCCTCTGCACCCTGCTGTTGAATAGCAATGGCTGCTGGTCTTATCACAGTCCTGCACGAACTGACCAATAAGCTAAGCCAGACAAATAAACCACTACCCTAGAGTCTTGCGCTGTGTTTATCAGGAACAAGGTGGTCCAGGGTGGTCAGCACAGGTAGGTGGGGGTGGGAAACTCTGGGAAGGTGGGAAGGAACCATTTTAGTGACTAACTCTGAAGCTATTAATATTAAATATCTTATCATGTCTTAGCTAAAGATGCCGCTGTAATCGAATTAATTCTAAATACGGTACACACTGATTCTGTCTGTCTTTCTTTCTGTCTCAATATCTCTTTCCCATTTTCTGCAGATCTTCCTTCATCTGTCTTATCAAGTCTGAAATGAGGATGTTTGTTGGCCACCGTAATTTAATCCTTAAGCCTTATACAGGCAGCACCTGTTCTCTCTGTCTTTCTCTCTCAGTGTCTCCCATTGATTTCCTTTCTGTTGTACCTTCTTTTCTAACATTCTCTCTTTCCCTCTGTCATTATCTGCCCATGACGGAAGGGGGAGGGGTAACAAGGTAAAGATGGAAAGACTTGGGGAAAATAGCACATCCTGATAAGTGAGGTGAATCCACCTGCCAAGTTCCAAGGACTGAAGCACCACTGTGATTATCACACCACTGGTATTAATCTCCTCTAATCTCAGCTTTATCTATTACCACTGCTCAATTCCAGGCTGAAACACATATAACGTTCACTTTTCAGATACAGTTTTTAAACATAAACTATTAAACTAGGCATAGGTATTAAAATATATATACTTTGCTGAATACTGATCAGATTCAATTAGAACCCTTTATTTTACAAAACATTACATACCCTGTACATACACTCAACACCAGAATTAATGGCACTATATCACAAGAATGGCCAAGCATGAGTATATAACATACACATTAAAAACACTGCGTCATTTTCCATGCAAACAAAATACTTTGCATAATTTTTTGTTAAATACAAGTATTATTTAAATTGACAAACCTACTGATTCCTTATTGGTATCATTGGGATCAGTCCATTTCAAGTGGACCTGTAAAAGTTATGCTTATATTACATCTGTTCATTTCTCAAAATGCATGAATAAAGTAGGCTTTCCCTCAGATTTCTACTAGCCCTAGCTCTGTAACCAGTGGAATCTCAAACTCAAAATTTACAGCAGAATGCTACTGTAGAGGACTTATTTCTGTGAAAATTTCAGGTTTATATCTGGTCCCCCACCAGAGATATTCAACCCGAAATTGAGGGTTGTCTCAAACCTGAAATGTTCTGCATGAACACTATACTTACCTAGGTATGCCCTAAAAAAGTATTGGTATTTCCCTAAAAATTAAGACTGATACTCGAACCTTTCCCACTATAAATTGACCCTAAAAATGGAACTGTGAGCAATCTTGAGCATTACATCGAGATTTAAGTTCTAAATCTAAGGAACAAATATGTGCAAAAAGTTTATATATGTTCATGTATCTTGTAAAGTGTTCTAGAAATCAGTTTTTGTTCCAAGGAGCTAAGACCATCCTGAGACGAGATATTGAGGTTTCTGTAAACAGCTGTATAACCGAAAAATAAATTTGTGCCATGACAAAGATGGCTGTAGTGGTTAAGCCAAGTAAAAAAATTCTAAAAAATTGTGGTTTTGCAATGCCAATACATAGAATTAATCACTCCAAAAAAAATTTGAAAAATTAAAAATGGTCAAGCAACCTGTATTGGACCACTTGAGGTGAAATGACCCACTAATGCTTTGGGGCTGTTTACAGATAATGATATTGGGTGTTTGTGAAACTGTACACAGAAATGGTTGCAGAAACACAAAAGCAGTGTTCTCTGGATTTGAGCCTATGGTGTGAATTAAAGAAGGTGGTCCACAGGCACATAGACGTGATCCAAGATACCTACATGCAGTACGTGTCAACTTTAAACTTAAAAGGAAGAGGCTCAGTGGTTTTATTCTATATATGGGAGACTTCACCATAATATTGATGTAGTCCAGCAAAATCTATTAAATGTGGATGATGCTGATAATCTAAGGGATAACTCCTTTCCCATTGTAATCTTACTGTATAATTGCTTACAATTTGGCAGCAATGTTATTTCTAGATTATTAGATTAGGTTGTAAATGTAGAGGTAACTAGGGCATCTTTCAGTGGAATTAAATCTTTAAATGTGAAATATGTTTTATCCCTTTCCACTTTTGGGCTAGACAAATCAGAATGATGAAAAAGTCTGATATCTGTGACTTTGAATCATGGCTTGTACCAGAAGGGTTTGTTTGAGTATTTCAGAAACTGTTGATCTCCTAGGATTTTCACTCACAACGGTCTCTAGAGTTTACATAGAAAGGTGCGAAAAACAAAAACCATTGAGTGAGCATCCGTTCTGTGGATGGAAACGCCTTATTGATAAGAGAGGACAGAGAAAATTGCTAGATTGATTCAAGCTGCCAAGAAAGATATGGTAACTCAAATAATCACTCATTACAACCGTGGTGAGCAGAAAAACATCTCAGCATGCACAAAACATCGAACCTTGAAGTGGATGAGCTACAACAGCAGAAGACCACCTCAGGTTTCACTCCTGTCAGCCAA